ACGTGTGCTCTTCCGATCTATAGCCAAGTTATTAAACTAGCCTCATTATTTAAAAAAGATTTCAAAAAAGCTTATTTGTGAAAAATATTTAAAAATTTAAAAAATGGAAAAGTGATAAACTGGATTATAATGAAACAAAAACTTGGCGTGTCCGGGTCGTTTTAAAATGCAATATTCCACATGTTTTATAGTATATAAATTATTTGCAGATATACACAAACATAATAGTCAGACAAAGTACCTGAGTTGCATGAAAACCCAATGTTTCACAGCCAATGGTTTATAGTATATGAAAAATTTGTAATACAAATAAATATACATATATAAAAACATTATTACATACAATAGTTGCGGATATACACAAACATGAATATATATTGAAATCATTTTCATATAAATTTACATATTGTTTAATACAGAAATGCAATTAATGACCCGGACACGCCAAGTTTTTTCTTCATTATAATCCAGGTCATCACTTTTCCATTTTAAAAATTTTTAAATAATTTTCACAAATAAGCTTTTTTGAGGTCTTTTTTAAATAATGAGGCTAGTTTAATAACTTGGCTATAATTTTATTGATTTCACGACTATTTTTGATCAATTAATTTTTAAATAATTGTATATTTAAATTATAAAAAAAATTGTTCTTAGATTTAGAAAGAATGTAAGTGACATTTTTTATGTATTTGGCGTATATTTTTTTTTTTTAAAAGTTAAAATCTATTTTTAATTAATTGTTTAAGATCAATAAAAATTAAATCAACTGATATACATATTGTAGATGTTTAATTTATTAAATTAAATTTGTAATTAATAATAATTAACAATTAATTATTTGTTTTGTTAGGCAATGTTTTATTGTCTTAAAATATTTTATGCCATATATTATACCATATCAGTTATTTTATAAAATAATTTAAATAAAAACTAGTTGAAATGAAATATTTTATATGGTCTTTCAATGAAAATGCTGTTTCAAATAAATGAAATTAATAATCAGTTATTGAAAAGGTTTTGTCTGAAAATATTAATATGAGGATGATACACACACACACACACACACACACACACGCACCCGCACGCACGCACGCACGCACGCACGCACGCACGCACGCACGCACGCACGCACGCACGCACGCACGCACGCACGCACGCACGCACGCACGCACGCACGCACGACACGCACGCACGCACGCACGCACGCACGCACGCACGCACGCACGCACGCACGCACGCACGCACACACACACACACGCACACTACTGCTATAATTTGAAATAAATTCTCTCAATAAGAAATTGAATTATTATATCAATTGAATATATAATTATAATTAATTAGAACAGGATTTACACTTTACAGTCATACGGCACATATTTGCCTGAAATAAATTTCTCAAATTTGCCTAAATAATTTTCTTAAATTCTAATTTTTTTATATTTATTAAAAATTTTATGTACAAGAATATTTTAAAAGTAATTTTTAATTTTATAATTTTTAACTTCTTTTTTTTAAGTGCATATTTTAATGAATGGAGTAAATTTCAAATAAATTTCTTAAAATGACATGTTTATATATATAATATATTTATGTTATCTAAATATATATTTTATAATATGTATAGAATTATTATACATCCAGTGATTGCTTATCTTTAGCTTCTTTATCATATTTTAATTGCATTTATAATTTATATTATTCCTTTTTTAAATTAAATTTACAAAGACTGTACGAAAATATGTCTTTATTGTAATATGTTGTATGAAAGGAAATGAAACTTAATCAGTATCAGAGGAAGATTTTTAAGAGAATTTTATAAAATTCTTATTTTTTTATTTAATTATTTATTAAATTTTATATAAAAATATGCATAGAATTGAATTATTAAAGGATTTTGTTTGAAATTAACTCTACTTAATATAAAAATATGCGGAGAGCTTTGAAAAATCTTGTTTTACAAGAGGGAGAATTACGACAGATCGGTAGCAACAGAGGTGAGGCAGGGTGGAGCTCGACGGAGGGATGAATGGAACGGCAGCGCTACGACGCAGCGTCGGGGCTGGTGCAGGCGCCATCAGTGGTGGAGCCATCGAACCAGCACCCATCGCCACTCTAGTCGTATACAAGGACGATGCTGGATTTGGAATGAAAGTTTCTGGTGACAATCCAGTCTACGTTCAGTCTGTAAAAGAAGGTTCGCAAAAGTTTGACGTGCATTAATATTTGTATAATTAAATTTTTAGAAGACTGCAGGATTTTTTTTTGAATTCATGAAAAGTTCTCTCTTTGGAGACAATGCATACGCTTAATACAATTTATATATAAGGCGTTTCCTCTAATTTGAGCTAGAATTATTTGTTTTTCAATAATACGAAAAATGTTAAAGGAAAAGATTGTTTCAAAAGGGCAAATATTATGGGAAGCAAAAAATTGTATTTATGATATTATATTTTACAAGATTTCAAAGTTATTGCCATCTTTTTTAAAGTGGAATTGAAATGGTATAATTATTTTAATTTTTCTGCATACGAAAGTATTGAAGTAGAGTTATAAAAATCCAATAGTTTATAAGGTATTTTATACTTCATTCTGGCATATTTGTTAATATAAATATCTTGTAAACAAATTTTTTTATTATATATTATCTTCAGGTGGTACTTGCATAAAATGATTTTTCTACAAATGTACTAAAATTTTGAATACAAGTAAATTAAAGTGCTCTCTATGTTTGTATGCAATTAGAAACATATTGATTTTCTAATTTTTGAGATAATTGCAATTAAAATGTATAGTTTTTACATGTGATGTATGTATGCAACTTAAGTTAATGTCAGATTTTGAATTATAGTATCCATACCATTCTTAGGATTCTTATAAAAAACGAGTATGATATAGAACAAGAATATATAAATGTTACAAAAAAGTTTCAAAATTGTAGATCGTTTAGTTTAAAAATTGTAATTAAACAAAGTATGTAACATACGCACTGTTCAACGCGAAATAGTTTGAGGTTATGAAGTGGCTAATGACACATCATGACACATCGAGTCTTTTTCTCTTTCTTTGAGATATTGCCGAAATTACTTTTAATCTTTTCCTAAGAGTTTTCGTTTTAATAAATTAACTTTTATGTCTCATTTGAGGAGTCACATCTTTATTATCTTAGTATATGTATGTACATTATATACAAGAGTCTTAGAGTGTGTAGGAGCAACCAAAAGTTTATTCCAGCAAGCCAAAATAAATAATTGATTGTTTACTTTTTGCTTATTATTAAACATTGTGCTGATATATTTTATCAATAAGATGTTAATATAAGGTGTTAAACTTTTAAGTGTATTTAATATATTATAACTACATGTTGAAACTTTCTTTTCACTAATAAGATCCCAGTTTTTTAATGGGACTGTTGCGCAAGTACCACCTTAATATCATTTATCTAATACTTTTATGTATAGATTGAGATGGAACAATTGATGTAAAGAAAATACATAGTTGTTTTTTTTAAATTTGTGATTGTATAATTTTTTAAGTATTAATATTTATGAAATATTTTATATTTTGTCAAAGTATGCCAAAATAAAATATGGAATACGAAATATCTTGTTAGATAATTAATTTTTCTTAAGTTTAACTTTAAAAATATTTTTAAAGAATTATTATGTAAAATCATATAATTTTATTTGAAAGATAATAGTGATTTTGAAATTTTGTAAAATATGAATAAATTTTTTTGTTTATTATAATATTTGCTCTTCGGAAACAAATAATTTTTTTCTTTAATGTTTTTTGTATCATTAAAAACAATAGAAATGTTCTAGATATTTGTATCAGAAGAAACATTATGTATAAAACTTTCTGATACAAATTTTGAGACAATTGTGTTTCACACACATTATTCAAATATAATTTTTTAAACATTCTTGAATCGTATACAAATCAGTATGTATAATATATATGTTTTTTGAATTACCAAAGGATATAGCCGGATATGAAAAGTATTCTCACCAAATTGGGCTTGCCATGTATCGATAGTTAGACCTAACGTTGGATAATTACTCAAAAGAAATATTTTAAGGCCAGTTGTTTAAAATTAATATAGTTATTTAATGCAAATAAGTATTATGCATATAAAATAAATATATTATAAAATAATTGGATTAGATACATTGCTAGCCATTAAAATGTAATACCAAGAATGATATGACATCAAAATGATATTTATATATTAGATTATTTATGAGACTTATGGGATTTAAAGAGAAGTTTAGCTTGACAGTTTTATTAGAAGTATAGTTTAATTCCATATTTTACTGTAATCTATTTATCCTAAATTTTGGTTTAATATGATGTTTTCTCCATTACTGTAATTTTAATACTCAGTAGTGTAATTAAGTTATTTTTCTGCGCAGAAATTTGAGAAAATTATATTTCAAATTTTTAACATTGGTGCTTATTTCTAAAAGATCTAAATTTTTAGATGAATAATGTTGAAAGATGTAACAGAAAAAATATGACGTTACTCGACAGTTTTATTTAAAAATTGTCAACTTCAATTTTTTTAAATTCGAGTTTGTATCCTAAAATCTTTAAAAATTTTTATTTGTTGATGATTAGAGCATTAATGGATTTTTTTCATAATTTTTCAATAAATTAGAAAAAAATTATGATTAAAAATTGTTTTGGATTACCACTATTGCAACAGTAAAGATAAATGATTAAAACTTGATGAAAATTATTCTTTTATAAGTAGAGGACTAACGATCGATGTATAGCAAGTCCAGGAGGAAAGGGGGGGATATCCGATTATACTCTTTATCAATTTATGAATCTAATATCTGAAAATTAAAAGAAGCAAATTTTATATGGCGGTTATCAAGTAAATAATTTTTGCATAGGATTCTTAGTTAATAATAGTTAGTGGTTGTTAAAAAAATTACAGATATCAAGTTTGATACACAGATATATCTATGTACGAAAATTAACTAATTAATGACTACTATACTGGATTTTATAATTTATATTGAATTTTTAATAATTTTGATCTTAAATTTAAAAATACTGATTTAAAGGATTATTTATTTTTATAACATTTCTGCGGCTATTTAAAAGTTAATAAATGATACTCTGTTTAATAATAATAAAAAAAATGCCCAAGAATTAAATTCTTGTCGTTTTGTCGTGTCTAATCGGTTTTTCGTAGTTTTTTGAATGCTGATGAATGCAATTCTGTTTAGCAAATTGGTCTATTATTTCATAATTTTATAAATTTGCAATTGAAGTTACAGAAAGGATTATTTTAATATATTTTGGTATATTATAATAATGATATATAATTGAAATAATTTTATTGCAGTGTTATATTGAAATTGTAATATAATGAAGATTAAATATGTATTGTTAGGACTTCTATACTTAAAAGAAATTTATTGTGTTATTTACGATTAAAAAGATATTTATGATTAACATAGAATCCATCAATATCATAAAATCAGAATCATAATTTTGCACAATAGATTATATATTAATTACAAATATATTTTTAGCCATATTCAATACAACAAATTATTTTTAATGGCTAAAAATGCTAACATTTAATTTTAATTGTGCAATAAAGCATCTCCAACACATTTACATATTACGCTTACATAATACTCTAACGTTTAAAATGGTCTTTTTTTGTAATTTTAACTGCAATTTTTTTTCTAAACTACGAAAATTGATTATTCTCACTCTAGAATACTTGAAAACAATTATTTTTTTATTCAATTTTTTGAAACATTTAAGACAAAAATTTTAATATAAAAATTTTAAAGCTATAATGGTTTTCAAATGAAAAGAATTTAAAGATTACGAATGACAGAGGTAGAAGAATTTCACGTGTTCTTCAGGGATGGCAAGATGATCATTGATAAAGGTGCCTCCATGAAATCAAATGCTTTTAACAATAACAATATTATTGTACAAATATGCAATAAGAATTTTATTAAAAAATTATTTGTTTATGGTACTGAATTTATTATAAAAATATTTTAAAAATATATATATACAGGATGTTTCAGAAATAGTTGGCCAAACTTTAAGAGCATATTCCACTCATTATAAGGATGAAAAAAGTCATATATACATGAGTTTGGAAATGCTTCCTTTCCAAGTTATAAACATTTTTAAAATTTGAATAAATACACTGTTGCAAATACCACTGAGCAAAAATTACTCGTGATGGATAATCCGCTTATAAGAAAGCTTGTACTCGTGATAAGGATGCAAAAGAGCTTCGTTTAATATCCTCTACACAGTTGAGGATGAAACATTTTGCATTTCTAATGCGATCCGCTCTCGTACTAAGTAAAGAAAGACTTAAATAAAGACTGATTCCAAATCCATACAGACCTATCTAATAACCTTTTGTTTACTTTAGAAGGTGAATGGAAGTACAATTCATAAAACGTCGAAGCGAGGCATGTCATCCAAATAAATAAATACGTAAATACGTACAATGTAAATAAGAAATGTTTATAACTAGGAAAAGAAGCGTTTCCGAACCCATGTTTATATGACTTTTTTTTATCCTTATAATGAGTGGAATATGCTCTTAAAGTTTGGCCAACTATTTCTGAAACACCCTGTATATGTATAATAAATAAATGTATCTGTACACATAATAGTTGTATCTGTACACATATTTATATATACATAGATTATTAATGTTCTTACAAGAATGATATATTTTGTAGGCGGTGCTGCAGCAAGAGCTGGTCTTCATGCAGGCGATAAAATAATCAAGGTGAATAATGATAATAAAGTGCATTGGAAGAAAGTTACATGAAGCTTGTTAATTTAGATTATTATTAATTTTTTTTTTATATACAGGGTGAGTCATTTTAATCGACGGATCCAAATATCTGCTAAAATACGCAAGCTACAAAAAAATAGATCGGAAGAGCACACGTCTGAA